TTCCATGCCTTTCCCAAATTGCTGATCAGTTTTCAGCTGGAGCCAGCTTCTCTCAGGACCTTTTGGCGTGCGTATCAAGTGCCGCCTTGAGTGCGACCTTCACTGTGCGGTGGACAAGCTCTTTGATCCTACAGCTCGCCATGAAGTTGTTCGAAGCAGCTGAGCAATTGATTTGATGACCAGATTTGGCTTGATAGGGTGGGCCTCTTTTCTAATCCTTTGTTTAGTAACTTTGTAGTAATTCCTTCGCCAGCAATGTCCGCCCACACCCCGGTTGAGGCTCCTCGGCCATTTCATGTTCGCAAACTGTTTGCTGGGAACATTAAGCACGCAGTCCGTTTTATATGTGAAAATTGGTGGAATTCATGGGAATTCAGCCACCATGTTGCGCTTTGTTGACTGTTTGTTTTTTGGATCACCGCCAAAAAAACGATGATATTCACATCATTAACGACGTGTTCTGCTGATGAGGCAAGACTTGCCGGTACCTATACTTTTGAGGCCAGAACGTTTGGATAGAATGGCCGGATCGCATGCAGCTGGAAAAGCAATCAGCTGACAGACCTATCCAAAGCCCACAGAGACCTGACGTAGACATCCCAACCCATTTCCACAGTCTTTTGTAACAAGTCTTGTGTTAAGGGTCAGGTTGGCAAGAAGATATGGACAAAGATTGTGGCCAGCTGCTTTGCCATATTGTAGCGCAGGTAGTCTTAGCAGAGAGTTGCTTTGGTGCTAGATCCCACATCAGATTGACAAACGTCATACTTCTGATGGTTGAAAATTTGAATATTTGGCCGGGCTTTGTGCCATTGCGCCGTTTTGTCAGAAGATCAGCTGCGCATTCCGTACGCTGTTGCTTTGGTGCCGTCCTCCGCTTTGGACGCGGACTTTGCCTTGCACGAAGCACAAGGTTCGAACTGGGCACCCTGTGAGGAAATTCATTGTCATCCATTTCTACGGTCTTGGTCACTTGCAAGGAAGTATCAGAGGTAATGGCAGCCAACCCTGTCTTGCAAAACCATTCCAATTTTACTCGCTGTGCTGCCTGCATTTTTATGAACCAAGCACAACCTTTTTGGCTCCAATGTGCTTTGCTTCAGAAGCCTTCAAGAGCCTTCGAATCTCCTCACATCGATAGTCTTGTTTTCAGGTGGGCAGGCCGCCACACGAAGAGTATCCCGAGATGGGATCGCTGCGTGTGAAACCCTGTTTCAGGCCGTTACAGTTTCCCACCAGTTCTCTAAGAGCACCCATCCACCGTCGGACGTACGAGTCTCAGCGATGAGAAGGGTTTGCTCTGAGGTTTGCAGGGAAGAGCCCTGTCCGAATTCAAAACAAATTCAGGGTTCAGATTCTTTTCTGACCTTGAAAGAGGCCATGCTATCGGAGCCCTGGTGCTGATGAATAGGATGAATGAAAAGACAGCGGAGGAGGGGAGTTCTGCGCACGCCCGCGGCATTAGCTTTGCCAGCATCCCCACATGGAGCAGAGTTTGTTTTGGAGAAGATGTTTGAGGTTGGCATTCCGTTCGTGATTTTGATTAATTTGCATGTCCCTTTGTGCGGTGGAACTGTGGGGTTTCTACCCTGGTATCCAAAACAGCTTCACCTTTGGCAGGGCGTGGATTGGCTAGATCTTTGCTATAGACAGCTCTCCTTATGCCATTTGGGCGGACCTCAGACGGTCTTGGACCTCCAGGTGCGCCGCCTGAACCGGCTGATGGACAGATTGTCGCCAGGCCGGGGTTCAGCTTGGCGCTGAATGACTTCAGTACTGGATCTCTTGGACTCGAAGAGGGTGTCCTCGAAGACAACCAGAACCACGAAGTCTCCGGACCTTCTGGTGTCTCCAGTCTCCTGAGAAGTGAGCTCCTTGTCCCTTCTTTCCTGGCAGCGCCCTGGGTGCCCTCAAGGGTGGTCGCCTGTGGAGTCGGGGATCGTCCGCAAGGAGTTGGAGCAGTCCTCGAAGAAGACATTTGGACTCATATAAATTTTTCATTGGAGAGAGCCTGTTTTGAACATTAAAAACATCCAAAAAACAAACAAAAGTCAGTCCCAAAAGTCAAAGTCAAAAGACAGAAAGTTTCAGAAAGTCAAAAAAAGCAGTCAATTTGCCCAGATCCGACATTTTTTTGACCTTTATTTTTGTCCGACTTTTTTTGACACCTTTTTTTAAAGTTAATTTTTTACTTTGACTTTTCCATTGTTTCTTTTTTTACATTGTTTTAAATCACGCATTCTGGCCTCACCATACGCAAGTTTTTTGTAAGTTTGGACGGCTTGCCGCACCTCCTCTGGGCTGGGAGCCCCACATGTTTCGTGATAACACAAGTAGGTAGATGGATTCATGCTTTCCAACACATCTTCTATCGATTTTGGGGTGATCCTGGAAACCAGTGTGCCATGATTTGGGGACGGACCAGTTTCTTTGTGCTGCATGCTCTCCGGTGTCTCCAGGCTTTGCCAAGGCTCTGCTGCATGCGCGGGATTCTCACATGGCCAAGCTTTTGCGCTCAGAGCCCTTTGCCTTCGACAGGCTGGGGTGCCAGGGCGGGGCGCCAGAGCGAGGATTGGCAAAGGCAACAGATCCTGGTAGAAGCAGGGTCAACTTCTTGGTGTATTTTGTTTGCTTTTTTGTTTTGTTTTGTTTGTATTGTTTTGTTTTGTTTGGTTTGTTTGGTTTTGTTTGGTTGGTATTGTTTTGTTTGGTTGGTTTTGTTTGGTTTGGTTTGGTTGTTTGACTTTTTTTGTTGCTTGGTTGCTCGGTTGTTTGCTTGCCTGCCTGCGTGCGTGCTTGCTTGCTTGGCTTGGCTTGGCTTGACTTGGCTTGCTTGGCTTGCTTGCTTGCTTTTTGTATAGCTTGTTTCACTTGTTCCACCTGAAGGGACACCAGGCATGTGGTTCTCTTCCTGGAGTCAGGTCGTGCTGCGATTCGTCATCCCAGAATGCTGGGACTCCTTTCCTGCAGAGATTGTAAGCGTGTATGTGAGATGCTTTGCCATCTTGTTTGGCCTGGTTGCCTTTACGGCTTGACGGTTTTCAACTTGGCACGCTTCGAAAGTCAACTTGGGGTTGGAAGACCGGAAAACAAGAGCCCAATGACCGCACCCAACTCAAGTTTGGTGGGTCCAACGTTGAAAAAAGGCACTGCAAAAAACATCTCTTCTCTTTAGTTCTTTCCTTCTACCATCGGGGTAAGACCTCTTTCCACCCAAGCACAGGGCATGAGGTCAATCAAATAACACCTCATCCCACTCTCCAGTCCCACGGACAGGAGGCACCACCTAGTGCTAAGTACAGTAGTCCCAGTCGCATGCCCTTGAAGCACGGGGGCTCTGGAGCTGTTGGGGTTGGTTTTTCATCATCTTGTCAGGGATCGGTTGAGGTCTCCAGATGGTCAATACCTGGAACCCGAGCCCTACCTCCTATCTCCCTGCGTGCGGCCACATCATTTCTGGCCGGGAATCGCCGTGGGCCAAGACCCAAAGAATCACCAAATACCCCATCCTGTGGGCCGATCGTTGAAGTTGATCAAGCCATACGGATCGCAACCTTGTTTGAGAACCTTCAGTTTTTGTTTGAGAAAACACATGGCGCCACTCAGATCCATGATGGCGCCACTCAGATCCATGGACGTGTTTGAGAAAAGGAGATCGATCCATGTTCGCTCTTTTTCTTCGATGGCCTTCCTGAGGGTCCAGGAGTCTTATGGAGTCTTGGTGATTCATGGGGTCCCCAGTTGTAGCTAGTGCCGTCAACACCTTTGCCCACCACATGACACTCTACAAAGTTTCTTTCTACACGGTCTCAGGGCCCTGGTTTTACCGTCTTTTCGTGTGGTTGATCGAAGGTCATTGTTTGAGCTAAAGGTATTTTTGTTGATGTTCCCAAAGGGAGGTGACGGTTTGCTGGCAGACTTTCCTGCTAGGACAGTGTGTGTGGTTGGAATGGCCCACATGGATGGTGTGGCTCGCAGATACACCGATGCAAGTTGGAAGGCCCTAGTGGGAAGCGTTTTGCGACATCCAAAAAGACTCTCCTGGTGCGTTTTTGCATCAGCTTTGTGTAGCTGGAGGATGTGCGAGGCATTAAATGTAGCAACATCCTTTCTTTGTGTGCAACTCCCCAGCAGAATTCGACGATTTCTGGTTTCAGCCACAGCTCTTCATACCTCATCCAGATCATTCGCTTCAGGAAGATTCACCCTGGAAGCCGCCCAAAGATGGACCTCGGCAAGGATTTCAGGTGCGGTTCCGGAGACCAGCGACCGTTCTTGAAATATGTTGAAGCTTGTAGCAACAGGTTGTTCATGGTCGGGCAATAGGACACGTGCGGGCACCCGACATCAAGGGATTGAGAGATTAGGATAGAGTTGGGCTGCATAGAGTCTTCAAAATGGCATGGGCAATAGCCAGGATATCTGATATGTTTTTCGCCTTTCCAATTGTCGATGACAGGACGAGCGCTGAGCGCCAGCCATCCTGCCATAAACTTGAATAAGTCTTGCCCAGGAGACCGACTTCTTGTCGCTCTTGGGAGAAGCAGCAATGAGGCAGAAGCTCAAGTTTTAACCAGATGCAAAAGGACCAGCAGAGGTTGAAGAACCCTATAGACTATCCTATAGGTACCCCAGGTGACGGGTCCTAGTTCAGGTCACTTGACCTCTGTTGGGATCTCCGGTTCACCACTTCGGGAAGATCCACCTAGTGCTTGGCCCTGCTGGTGAGCCAAGGCGTCATCAACAATTGCAGCGTGTGCCGTGTGCAGCGTGGATCAAAAAGACGTGCGAGAAACATTCGGATTGTGGCTGCTGATGAGGTTGAACACCTTTCTGGGCATGGTATCTGGGTGGTTGATGAAATGTCAGTGGTTGGTTCGCGGGAAGCCGTCCAGATCGGCACAGACCTGCTTCTGCGGCGATTGTGACTGTCCATTCATTCGGGTGATAGGACGACCTTCTTGGAATTCCCAATGTCACATGCACAAAAGTTGCCTAAGGCTACACGATATGTACCGCGGTTGGGGTCAGCTGCATGTTGAGCAGGGGTCCTCAGTGCTTCTTTTTGTGGCAGTCCAACTTGAGCCAGTACATGAGTTTTCCTCAGAATATATATACAGATTCAGATACATACATACATACATATATAATTATATATATATATATTTGGCCAGGTGTTTTTGTTTGGCAGACAGGGTGCGGTCAATCAAGTGGAAGTTGAGCAAGAGCCCATTCTGAGGTACAGCAGTGAGCGAACGCCTAGAATTGAGAAGGTGGCATTGTCGGTCCAGTTGATGAAGCGGAATGTTGACTGTTGATCAATAGAAACCCCAAGCCGGAAGGTTAGATCATGTTAGATCATCCAGATGGGGGTTTTGATTGATCAACAGTCAACAATCGACACCGGAATGCTTCACTCTGTGTCAACTGTTGGCTTTGGAACATTTATTGCCTTCTGTATTGGCTGCCAGGATGATTGGCCTCATGCGCCCTTCTACGATCCTAAGGTGGACCCAATCAGCAGGCGTCAAACGACGCGGCGTGAGGGATGACGCGTATTGTGGGATCTCTTCGAATGGGCGGTATGGCCAAGCTGCATCCATCAGTCTTCAATCAGCCGTTGCCAGGTCTGAGCATGTGTTACACCAGCGCCTGACGCCTGAATAGCTAAAGGGTCCATGAGGCTTCGTGTGCTGGTTTTCCTGGCAAGTCTGTGGTACACCCGAGGTCTTCGGTCTCGAAGGTCGGATTAGCCCTTGGATGCGGTGAACACGCGGTTGTCATGTCCCTCTGTTGCCATGAGGCCCGTTTCAGATCGTGCACGATGATTGCATGAAAGGAAAGGTGAGGCATGGTGAGGCAGAAGAAGGCTGCATTTTATTAGGGCACGTTGCAGAACAACAGGTGTTTTCGAAGAGTCAGCCATAGACTTCCAGCGTCCAGCGGGTTGTCGCTGGTGTTTGGATCGGATCCATATCCGCCATTTGTGTCTTTCCTGTGGATGGTTGGTACCCTGAGGTGCCGACGTACAGCACCGTATCAGCATGGAGTACCAACCTCATGCAGCCACCATCCATCCACGCACGGTTCTCACGCTACCTTGTCCTTGCGCCCCTCTTCCATATGCCAATCACCTGCAAGGCCCCAAAGTCGCAGTGGACAAAAAGCACACCAGTGTCAGCGGATCCAGCCCTTCAAGAAACAGGAAGATTTCGGGACCCACAGGAGACCAGGGACACAGGTCGTCTTGTGTGTTCCTTGTCTTGGTGGGATGGCAATGTGGGTATTTTTCATCACAGCCACTGCCCAATTTCTGTGGATTGGAATCCAATCATTTGGTGGTGGAAAAGAGCGTCCACCACCAATTCCGGCACACCTGCTTTTTTCCTTTGCTTCACAGCTGTGTCCTGAGCCTTATCCTCTTCAGCATCGATTTCAGGTTCTTCACTCTCGGAAGCCTCGGAGCCATCACAACAGGAACCTTTCAGACAAGACATGTTTTATGCACCGGTCTGGTGAGAAACAATAGGAAACATCTTGCTGCAAACAAGGGGATGACTTGCTACTTGCTAGATGTTGTACACCAATCGAGTTCCCATTTATCGTTTGGAAAGAAACCAAGCCTGGGCCTTGACCCTTTTGATACGATAGAGGGGTGCTCACTCTGGCACACCTGCTTTCTTCCTTTCCCGAGTCCGGAGTCCTGGGAAGGGGTCTGTGTTTTCTTCGGAGAACCCGGTTTCCGAAGACCGCCACGGACCGAGCGGTCACTTGGACGACCTTGCAGGCTCTCATATTGGTTGCCCTTGGCTGATCACTTTCGTTATCCTCATGTCCTGCACTTCGCCTCGCTGCCCGAGATGCTCCACATGGCGGCTGGGCGGTTGCCGCTGCTTCTGCTGTGAGATACGCCCCCCTACACACAGCTGGAGACCATATTGTGAGACATCGTTGTTCAGCACTTCTTGAAATAGACCCCCCAAAATAGATAGAAAAGTAGATCCCCGCTAAGAATGTATTGGAAACCACTTCTATCCATTTGCGGATTACTATACTATACAACTTGACTTTCCCAGATGGTTTTGATGTTCTTTGCCTTGTCTCAGGTGCATCACACCAACTGGGCGGATGTCAGTGTGAAATTGCCCGGCCCCCCGGGTGATGAACGCATTGTTTTGTCATATGAAGGTCCCCCCTCAGAACTGCCCAAGGCGTGCGCACAACCGCAAAGTGATCATCAACAGTGAGCAGCCCGCGACCTAGAATTTCTTCAGCTGGGCGCCTGTTTCTTCATCACTGACACTGACAGCAATTCAAGCGGGCATTCGCTTGGAAAGAAGAACGCCAAGCACATCCATATTCATTTCTAGATGTGGACAACCTGTTGTTTCATGGCTTCAACTTGAAACAAGAAAACATCAGGCTACCTTCCTCATAATTTCAGGATTGGGTTGAATGGGAATTACAACTTAGGTTCTACAGACGAAGCTTATTGGAATTGATTGTGACAAGTTACATTATAGAATACAATCGGATTTTGAATATATCCTTTATATAATCTTTCAATTCCACATTATACTATATAATATAAAGATCTAAAATCCCTTAATTTTAATTTTTGATTTGAAAAAACAAACTATATTTAGGAACATCTATAATGAATACACATATAATTTACTGTAGTATTAAAGGACATATAATTATGCATTAGGTTTGGAAGGCTTGGGTTTGCATTGTTCATCTCATTAGTTATTATGCTTTACTTTATATTTTGACTCAAGGATTCCCCTTTGTAAGGCAAAATGGCTTTTGAAGGGTGAATTCGCGAGTAACGCGATCGTATGCGGTTTATATCGAAGCGCCGCTTTTGGCTACCGTAACGTGGTTGGAGGCCATTGCCAATATGCGAGAAATATTCATAGCAGGCAAGCAGATTGCAGCCTTTCGCCTCTGGGCCTCTGTGCTGGAGATTTAGTGCATCCTATAGCCCCCCCCGGCCCAGGGTTTACGTACTTTGTGGAGGCGCATTGGAAGGCGAAGCCCTGTGTCACAGCTGCTGGACTGACTTGCGGACTGGGTCCCCGATAACGCGGCCGCTAGCCGTCTTCTTGAGTGCCTGTGGGTGCTCCATGCCACCTTCGTTCGTCGACGTGGATGCATTCCTGAGATCGAGTATTAGTCGTTGAATAGTTTGAAGTGGCCCTCGTGCGACCTTCGGGTGATTTCGATGAAAGGCATGCAGGAGTGGCTAGTCAACCATACCGGGGTGGGATGGTCTTTGCGGGGCCTAGTAGCGTCGAACATGTCCGGAGCGACCGGACGCAAGGCGTGCTTATAGGCGGTTGTTATCGAGCGACCGATATTGGCCCGCCTGCGGCAGCGTATGCAGGAGCTGTACCTGTACCGGAAATGGAGCGGTTGTTGGGGTGATGGGTCCTTGCTGTAGGGGTGATGCGCTATCGTCATGTCGAGAGGTCCTATCCGGTCAAGCTGACACGTAATACTCTCCACTTGCACTTCCCCAAGAGAAGGCAGAAGGGCAAATGGGATGGATTTATTGGTCCGCTTTTGCACTGGCTGGCCTTGGGCTGAAAAGTGGCTGGACGAGCGGAGAACCTTTCCACTTAAAGCGCGGTCTAGCAGCGGCATTTGGTTGGTTGAATCTTTGGTGGGCAAGCTCCAGGGGAGCGAGTTCATGCAGGGGAGATGTCCATGGGGTCGTAGTCTGACTAGGGAGGTTGCGCGCAGATCCCCAGGTCTATGACTTGATCGTGAAGCTGACGGCGGTCCCAGGTGGCACCCGATGGCAGTTCCCTCTACCGGCTCGTCCGACGGGACCTTGGACTTATGTCTTGTATCTCGGTGGTGGGAATCCATTGGCCATATTTTACGCGATACACGGAAGGTCCCGGGGCTTTACTCCGAAGGATGATAATCGAAGCATCCAACAAAGCTTCTGAATCTTTTTGTTGACATTTCTAGCAACTTTTCCGCGCAACGCTAGGTAATGGCTCCTTGCACTGACCTCCTTGGATGGCGTCCTTTACGCACTGCCATATAATTGCAGACCTTCGGGTGCACGTATTCATAAGCTCCGTCACTAATACTGCCGCACCGATGACGAAGACCGCTGAACTTGCAACATTTCAATTCCAAGATATTCCAATATTTTTACCAATACAAGCTGAGAGTTGGTAGGCCGGCTGGTGTAGGCAGCCATTCTTTTTCCCCAAACAGTTTACTGTTAGGGGTTCTCAATGCTTTAAAGAATGGTCGGTTCCCGGCTGGCTTGTCTCCCACTTCCTTTCATTTGTCTCCCACTTCTTTCATTTGTCTCCCAGTTCTTTTCGGTGCTTGTGGTCGGGTTCCCGGCTGGCTTGTCTCCCACTTCCTTTCATTTGTCTCCCACTTCTTTTCATTTGTCTCCCAGTTCTTTCCATTTGTCTCCCACTGCTTGTGGTCGGGTTCCCACGTCCTTTCATGTGTCTCCCAGTTCTTTTCATTTGTCTCCCAGTTCTTTTCATTTGTCTCCCAGGCTCGGTGCTTGGTCGGGTTCCCGGCTGGCTTGTCTCCCACTTCCTTTCATTTGCCTCCCACTTCTTTTCATTTATTTCCCAGTTCTTTTCATTTGTCTCAGGCTCGGTGGTTGTGATCGGGCTCCCACTTCCTTTTTCACATGTGTCTCCCACTTTTTCATTGTCTTGGCTTGTCTCCCACTTCCTTTCATTTGTCTCTCACTTCCTTTCATGTGTCTCCCGCTTCTTTTCATTTGTCTCCCAGTTCTTTTCATTTGTCTCCCAGGCTGGGTGCTTGCCAGCTGGCCATGTAGTGCTTCTATACATTTGTCTCCCAGGTCTAATTCATTTGTCTTCCAGGTCTGTCGCTGTTGGTGTCCGCCCTTTTCCACTACTGGCCATGTAGTTTTGCATTTTTTTGGTGAATTTTTTGTATTTCGTTGAATGATTTACGATGGTTGTGCGGATTTGCATTTTCTGAATATTTGGCGTTGAAAGATTTACGACGTGCGTGTGGAGTGGATTTTGGCGACTTTGTTGCACTTGGCGTTGAGCGAAACATTGTTTTGGGGGGGGCAAGGCGGCCACAAAATACAAATAAAGCCACGACGACGTTCCAGTAGACTGGCCGCCGGATACCGCTACGCACCACGCGCTGCGACGTGACGCGGAAACTACGTGACGCCAAAACTTTCTGAAACGTAGTTCGGCTAGAGAGCCTTCAGTTTTGTGAAGCCCAGTTCGGCCAGAGAATCTTGCTGACAGCTCGCCAAATTTCTGAAACCCAGTTCGGCTAGAGAATCTTGCTACCTTA